AAATACCAAAAGCGTGCCTAAATTATTATCAGTAAATTTTTGCAAACTCACGCATATCTTAAGAACTTTTAAGAACATTATCCATCTACTTAGGATAAATTTCAAAATATTCGTAAGTGAAAATACACGTCTGGCTGACAATTACAATTACGGAGGCCTGACAGTCTCAGAAGTAGTGTCCGACCGAAGGTTCGGTTACGGTTTCGGTCAACTTTGGCTTTAAATAATATTTTCGATTACAGTTTCGGTTTCGGCGGAAAACTGGCCGAAACTGCAGCCGAGAGCGAAACTACTTTTAAAAGTTTTCGTATCACAATGTTGTGTCCGGCACAATGGCGACTGTGCCGGGTGCCATTCCTACACAGTGCACGTACACACAAACTTCTCTGCTTTGTTTCAAGTGAACATGTCAATAAATTTATTAATGGCTTCTTTTAATCACATAAATAAACAGGTAAAAAGTAAATGTAGCTAAAATTTATAATACGAGTTAATTAGTCTAAAACAAGGATTACAATAAGATATTGCAAATTTCAATAAGAGATTGCCTTAAAAGAAAGTTCTTGTTTCTGTTTCGGCCGAACCTAAGAAAGGAGCCGAAATTTGGTTTCTGTTTCGGTTATAAAACCGTATTTCGGTAGGACCTGACAAGCCAGGTAGTTAAACGAGGAGAGGAATAGTAATCGAACGTGCCGAATTTAGCGCGCCTGACGGTCATTAGACGAGTCTGGCAAGGCTTTCGGGGTGTTCCACATTAGACAGATTGTATTTTAAGCTGTTATCATAATATACATGTTTCTAGTAGTGAGAACACTTGTAACAGGGACATTGCCAACTAAAATGACACCTTAGTAAACTGAGAGTAGTGCAGATTTTGTGAGGAGAAGGAAAAAATCTTCATTCACATTCTAACTAAATGTGTAGCACTTCAGAATCCAAGGGCACTATACCTAGGAGCATATCAAATAGAAGAGGGAGATTTACCTAACTTGAAGCCACTCCAAATCCTATACTTCCTTGAGAAGATATAATTGGAAGGATCTTTATTCGCGATTCAAGTTAAGTGATACGCCCTCTGGAGGAAATTTGTAGAAGGTCCCTATAAGTAGGATATCGTTCAGTGTTGCCAGAAGTAGCAAAATTTCGCTACGTCGTCGGATTTTAGCTCTTGAAGAAGTGGATAAGACCTTTTATTTAAGAATTAAAATTTGTGTATAGTAATATGTAATCATACTCTATATTTATTTAAGGACTTTTTTATAAAACCGATTTATTATATTAATTTTTTTTTTAATTTCAGTTCATTTATTAATTTTGTTTTAAAATCAATTCATCATTTGGCAACGAGTTCATTGTTTACATTTTAATTTGTATCAATTACAATTCGAGTTTTTCTTACTTTTTAGCTTTAAATTTGTTTATTTCTTATAGTATGTGATAGTGTTTATGTTAAAAATGAAATCTGCGAAAAAGTCCCCAGCAAATTGCAATCTATATGGTGTTAATGTCAAAATTAAAACTGAAGTATTCATTATTTTCCAAGTGCAAGTCGTAAAATTTAGTTTTTTACCATAAATGGATATCTACAAATTCACAATATTGAAATTTTGCAAAACTTTGTTTAGAATCGATATATGATATTTTATCCATTTTCATAGATTCGCCAGAATTTTTTTACTTAACTTCAGTAGGTATACCTCTAGAACTATTATATATTATATGACTAGGGCTAGGGCTTTAGCCCCCCCAGATCTGATGACATAACTTCGCCCATGCTCTGTGGCGGCACCATTCAAGACTGGCGGGTTTATTGTTATGCTATTTGCGAATTTGTAGCTTTGCCCAGGTCCGAAAAAACAGCGGATCCGCTTTCCATAGTAGCGGCACAGATTCAGACCCAGCTGGTTTTTCGTAACTTTTTTGTTACGCTGGTCTCCCTTTTGTAGCTTGTACTGAACCTGAGAAAAGCGCGGATCCGCTAGCTTAGCGGATATTGGTAGCGGCACCAGCTCGGACCAGGCTCATTTTTTGTTACGCCTGTCTTCATTTCGTTGCGAGGCCTGAACGTGAGTAATAATCGTTTCTCTATGAGCGTGAGAGAAAAGTGCGTTAATTTAAAATCAAGTTTCGGCATCTACAAGTAATATGTGCAACTCGATAGTGTGACTATCTGTTGATAGATGGCACCAGTATTGCATTTCACGAATTATGGCCATCTTCCATCCAATATATTTTTGAGAAATTTAGATAATGGGTCCTATGATTGAACGTTTACGTTATCCGTAACGTACATGTTAGGCCGAATTTTAAAAGTAACGAGGCAAGTTCGGATGATGGAAAACTGTTAAATTAGAAGATAACAGGCGGAAAATAACAGTAACGTGTTGGAAAAAGTTTTCCATCATACGAAATTGCCTCATTACTGTTGAAACTCGGCCTAACATGTACGTTACGGATAACGTAAACGTTCAATCATAGCACCCATAATCTCAAAATCGAACATTTGTTTTTTAGTGTTATGTATTTATACTTTTGTTGAATCAAGAATATTCTTACATCTTTTTTGAATTATTTCCTTAACCAATCGTTTTGCAGTATTTATGGACCAGTGTTTAATTCTGTCGGATCACAACTATACAGTGTGTTCCATCTCAGACGAGCCATCACGTATATTTCTTATCCCATAGTAATTGGAAAAATTTCCCGAAACACGTCGGATGATTTTCTTTGGGGACATCTTTTGACGTATACTTGAGGCTTGAATCAGCAACCCCCTATGGCGCTTCAACCCCTAAAAATGGAATAGGTAAGAAGGGTTGAGTGATACATAATTTGTAAGGTCTTGAAAGCCTCTTTACAACGGTGTATGAAAAAAATCACATTCTTAAAAAAACGTGATAAACACCTTCTAAGAGCAAAAAATGAAGGCAAGATAAGAAAATGTTTTGACTTTTTTTTATTTATTAGTTCGAGAGAATTTATTATTGCATGGAAGTCAATGGAAGACAAATTGAACATTTCATTTAAAAACGCAGTTTTGATTTTTTTGATTGTAAGCATGATAAAACAATTGATTTTTTTTAAGAATGTGATATATTTTTTAAGCCTTGGTTTCTTTGAACACTCGTCGCGGTGAGCGGACAGTCCGTCGACCGTCGCGTTTTGACGATTTTATCCAACCAGAGTATTTAAATAGGAATGGTTTTCTTGAATCCGCTTAGCTGAGCAGGATGGCGTCATGCCGCTGATTTGTCACGAAGAGCCGGTTGATATGTTTGATATTAGAGAAGCTAACGTATAGATCTGATGTCAACAATATCAATATTAGGCAGAAAAATCTCTTAACAATACCTCAACATCGTACTACTTTATTTCAAAGGTCTTTCCGTTTTAGTAACTAGTTATAATAATTTGCCCACGGACATGAAAAAGTTAACTCTAAATAGTTTTAAAAAAAAGTTATATTTTAAGTTATTTAATGAACAATGCGCTGAATCATAGGGAATTTATTAAACAGCTTTTTTATATAAGAATATAAAGCAATGTATTTTTTTTTCTTTTTTGTTTTGTTGTTTAACTGGGTTTAACTTTGTTTCACTACGAAATTTATTTAAAAAAAAAAAAAAAAAAAAAAGAAGAACAGCTATGCTGATCTTGCGCCTTTTAATTAACAGTATACATATATTTACCTTTTATTAAATTGTGTTTTATTTATTACATGTATTTATTTTTACTGTTGGTTAATAAAGATATATTATTATATTAGCGGAATCGTCGACGTGTGCGGAGACTATATTGTTATTAATTTTAAAACAATGAGTGACAAATTCACACATACAGATGACATCATGACTATTTTTAGGCTTCTTGGAAATTATGTCCTTTATAAAACTCAACACGAATTCAAAAAGATCTGTAGAAAGTCTAAAATACTCCCTAAATTTGGTTTCATTTCCAAAAAGCCTCCGCTGCAGTGATATTAAAGGCACCTTCTGTATCGCGACACAAAAACAACTCATCCACTGGCTTGTTGGAAACTTTAACGGTTGCAATTGCCAGTTCCTCTTGTTCTTCCTCTTCCAATAATAATAACAACGCAAACAATTTATTTGCATCCATTTTAGTACCTTTCGTTAACATTCATAATACATAAACAGCACGTACAGAGAGAGAAAGTATCATTTTCTATATTTTTTAACAAACCACCTCGGGCGAAAATTGCTGTCCTCAGCGATCGACGGACAGTCCGCTCACCGCGACGGAGTGTTCAAAGAAACCAAATTATATATAAATATATCAACGAGCCTACAATTTAGTGGGCTGCCTGGGCGGACATGCCCTACATATATGCTGAAGCTGTATATCGGGCCGAGTCTGGCATCCGACAAGCCTCCTTCGGCCCAGTTTATGGTGCCGATAAACTATGTTTATTGGGGTGGCAGTCAACGTGTTAAACATTAAAAATAATTTTGTTACATACCTTTAAACTACTTTTTTAAGACCTGCAAACAATTGGGCATTCCAAACAAAATTACGTCACACTAATGTATTCCATGAATATCATTTGTTTACATTTATCCCTCTCACTTCAACTTTGAGTATTGTTGAAATTTATAACCGACTAGGGGGTTAAAATATTGGCGGCCTTTAAAAATATTTTCGTATTCGTTAATTTACTTCTGTCATTATTTAAACAGATATTTCGTTAAGATAGTCAGTCCTCTAATGTATTTTAAAGTTCCGTTTAAATAATGACAGAATTAAAGAAGAAAATATTTTTAAAGCCCGTTCAAATATAAAGGAATTGTTACAGAATAGACCCCTATTTGTGGATGTTGGTTAGACGTAAGGTGCTCTTTAGAAAGTATTTTTTGAAAGTACTACAAATATAAATAAAATGTTGGTAATACGGGCTTCCGCCACTATCAAAAGTTTTAAATACCACAATTTTGCACTTTAAATGAAAACGTTTATAAAAATCTTATAAAACATTTTAATAAATAATCGAACGAGAACAATAAACAAAACGAGAACAATAAACAAAACGAGAACAATAAAAAACAAAGGATACAGTTACCTACGAAATAAGGTAACTTTCTATAAGTTTATTAATATCACTGACTAAATCATCACTGTGTCCGAGGCTAAACAGGGTATTAAATATGTCGAATCGTAAACGATCACAGACATCGACCACTAAAGCGTAAGTTATCGATTCAACTCGTAGCAAATCCAATCGCGATTCCAAGGACCATTTATAAATTTCCGCAACATTCCTTGTAGACATTCTATACTTTTTCACGTAATTAGTAACGAGGCTACAAATGTCACTCATTAAATATCTATCACTTAAAGCTATAACATCGAGTAAGGTATCAAGGCCGATTTTTCTAATCTCATTTACCGATCCGACCAAGTCCAATAGACAATTCAGAGTCCTGAATTCAACATCCTGTAAACATACTTCGTCTTCACTACCTTCTTTAAAAGATCCGCTCAACAAGTTGGTAAAATACACAGACTTTTCCATCAATAAATTTCTATCAGCTTTCACGTGTTGACCATCATCTAATTTAAAAGTCACTAGTTTCACAGACGTCTGATTGTCTGATCGTTGAGAACTGAACGTTGCTAATGTATGGGCTACGTCTATGGCAACTTTTTTAGGATTGGCTATTTCCAGTCTTTTGGCCGATAACACGTTCAGTGTTTTAATGACCCGTCTTTTTAAATCCGAATCTTCCTTTAACAGCTGCATCAAAAGGGTTAACCCTCCTTTTGTTAATAATATATCTGCGAGAGTCTTTTTTTCACTAAAAAACCAAGTAAACTGTGAAGAATTGTCGTTTGATGTACAGATTGTTAAGTTTCTTGTGTTGACTCTTGTAGGAAGAGTTAGCAAAAATGACAGACTTGTAGAGAAAACTAACAAAAATAATGGTACTAAATTTTCAACTTTTTAGCCTACATAGCACGTTGGGTAGCTAGATAGAATAAAACAATAGAGGTTAAAATTTTGAGAATAACTACTAGACCAGAGATAACGGAGATATAACTATTCATTCATAATATATGTGATGCCAACAATAAAATCAGTCCACTTGTAGGCCAGGAGTGGAAAAACGTGCGGTGTGAGGTAAGGGAGGGGATATACTGGAGGATCTGAGGGCCCTACACATTTGTTAGTCGCAGCGGAGTGTTAAATAAATTGCATTGGCGTACCACTAGAACGGAATAAGTTAGATTCTCTAAATAATATGTGTTATTTACTCCCGTGAAAGAGTTTCTATTTTTCCTGCAAATTTCGTTAAGTTTTTAATGCTTCAACGATATATAAATTTAGATTTAAAGGCATCTGTTTGCATATGATACAAATTTGTATGTTTCTAATATCGAACAGTGTTTAATCGGACCGTACAAAAATTATCTAAATAAAAAAATTGAAGCTGATTAAAAAATGGACGAAAATAAATAAAATAATACCATTTCTATAAAATTTGCCCTCGTTAATTTGGAAAAAGTATCTTGTTCTAAATATCCAGGGTTTGTTCTTGGATCAAACATTAATTTATTCGACACCCACATGGATATAACTTATCTACCTACAGACTACAAAACAAAAAAGTATGCTATTGTGTTCAACTGAACGAATATATTTCATATTCATTCTAAGTAGGGAAAACATTGCAAAATAGCAGTTTGTGCAACAAGAGTAAATATGGACAATCTACTCGAGTTGTACAGTATATTTTTTCTGCCACCCACTTACCAAAATCTTCAAATTTAAAAATTATTTTAGGTTATTAGGGAGCGTTCAAGTATTACGTAACGCAATTTTTGGAGATTTTTAACCATCCCCCATGTAACGCGCCGTAACGTTTTTCTGTACCCCTCCCCCCCAGTAAAACGTTACGTAACCACCAAGTGACTATTTTTACCTAAAAATCACAATTATGTGGCGTAAAATACTGGAAAGTCGCTAAAATACCTTCGCGTTAATATTATTTATTAACATTTGAAATGTTTTAAAAGCAAGATATTTGTAATGTCTTTTTTTTTATTTTTTTGTCCTAATAAATTTTTACTAGGTAAGTACCAAATCTCCTTTATTTACTTTTAAAACCCGGTCATACATTGCAAAGAAACGTAGCGCGTAGCTATTTCGTAAATAATCTGACATGCGTTGCCTGGTGCGCTGTTGCCAGGCTGTGTAGTTTATCCCTTTCATATTTAAAAATAGTTTTTACCTATAATTCACTAATAGCAACAATTTTTATTAATTAGAATAGTTTCGAGATATATTGCGACACATCAAGCGTCCCCACCAATTCATTTTCATACCTAGTGCAGTATCTCCAACTCCGACGCATTGTGGGCAGAGATGTTGCAATATTTCTCAAAACATTTCTAATAATAAGTCTCTGAATAAAATGACTTAACAAAAAACGTATAACATGTGTACAAAGTAGATTAAACTATTTTAACTGCTTTCAGCAGACTTTATATTTGAGCAGCATCTATTTTTACACAATTATGCAGGACATTTTTGTACCTATCGTTTTTACATACATATGCTTGCTAAATACTAAGATAAACTATGGCAAACATCATTATAATTCCTGCAAATAAATGCAAGGATTTAAAATCGTTAAACGTGACACCACCGCAATTTAAAATAACCTTGTTTCATTCATACTATACGTCACGTATAGTATTTTATGCATCGATAGTTTGCGACGTTGCGATCCAGTAAATTGTTGCATATTGGATGTTTTTGTTAATCTTTAGACCTTTTTGGAAAAATTTCGGCTTGTTTATAGCTAACAACATGGTTCGCGAGTACATTTTGTGCAAAAAACTGGAAAATCTGGGTGTTGAAGTATCTTTTCGTAAGTAAGGTGATGATGTATTGCATTGCTCAGTGGTGTAGATTTAAAGATTTTTGCCGTAATATCACATGTATTATATAGTTTTTTTTTACTATTATTTTCTTTGATCTTTCAACGTTATTAATTTCGCAAAAAACTAATTAATAGAAACACTTTAGTCTGGACTATAGGCATAGTTGTCCTGGTAAGTCAGCATGAGAGCCTTTATACGCCAAAAACAATTGATAGTATAAATCTCCCTCTTTTGAGGACATTACTCTCTTTAACAATGACGGACAATACGGCAATTAACTTCAGCGTATTACGCAGCACTCGAATACTGTCAATGAAATGACGTACAATACAGTCGATCGAGTGCTTGAAGAACTCGGGGAATCCCCGTAAAAAAACATACACGAAAAGGGTTGCCAACTTGGGAGAACAAAATACGTACAATTCAATCGGGAATCCGCCGTAAAAATAAACGAAAAGAGTTGGCAACTTGGGAGATTTTAATTCCCTAGTTTTTTATTAACCCTTCAGACCAATCGTCTTTCGTACCACAATCATTACTGTTGTGATGAGAAAAAATGTCACACATAGAAAAAGGTGTAAGTAAATATTTTTAATATCAATATTATAATTTCTAATATAGCGATTGGAGTCTACGAAGGGAGCCGAAGTATAACAAATGTCAAATGGTCACTCCATTTGAAATTTTGAGAAAAAAAAAACCTTTTAAAAAATGCGTGAGAGAATCTCTCTACGCAACTTTTCTGAAGGGTTAAAAATAATAATGTTACGTAACGCGTAGTTCAAACCACCCACCCCCCTCCCGCCCCTGTAACGCATCGTAACGTTTTACAAAACCCCCTCCCCCAAATTCGTTACGTAATACTTGAACGCTCCCTTAAGAGAAAATAACTAATTTTATTTTTTTTATTCATTTTCACATAAATTTAAAATGCGTCACGCTATGAAACTCACAAAAAATATTAATGTAAACATTCTTTCAAATTATACGTTCAAAACTTCAGAAAAACAGAGTAATTATGTAAACCGTTGGTATTTCCAATGAATCAATCCCTTATTCATAAATTAACAATTTATTGTCCTCTTTCCTGCAATTTTTTAAATCCTATTTTCTATATTAAAATAAAAATAGAATTCAAAACAGTTAGGTAATCAATATGTATTTTTGGACCTCTATAAATAATATATATAAGTAATATAAGTAAAAGATTTGTTCGTAAATGTTTTTTATTTATTAAATTGATGGTAATGTTCTGAATTATTCGTAAAAAATTGTACCTATTTGAAATTATGTGCTAAATATTTTTTTGTTTTGTTTTAAAAGAATATTGTTTATCCGCTGAAACTAGTAAATTAAAGATTTAAAAAATATAATTAGAGGTTTTGCTTCTTATTGTGATTTATGTATTTAATTGATCCTATTGTACTGAATTATTCGTAGGTACGAAAAATTTTATTTTGAATTTTGTGATAAATATTGCATGGTTTCTGCTGTTTTGATAAAAAATTTATCCGTGGAAACGTGAACCTTTAATCAAAGTCAAAAAAACTATATTTAGAATCGTAGTTTTCTCAATATTTTTTTGTATAGTGAAATAACAATAACTTTTTGACTTACCTAAGTACTAAAATCAAAAGTTTTGCCGAATAACATTACCGAAACTTTAAGGCAACGCTCAATTAAACTGAATCATTTTAAAAACATGTTTTAAAATATTTTAATAAAAAAATGCAGATTTTTTCACAAATTCGTTTTTTACTTAAGATTAACTAGGTATTTTTAGATTTATAGAAATAATCCCCGGAACAATTTTAATATTTTGCATCTTCTCCTGATTTGTTATGAATAACTACAGTTAATTCAAAACATTGTTAATACTAATTATTTAAAAATAATAAGATATTTTTCGTATGATAAGTAAATTCGGTAAATTCTAACAACTAAACAACTTGATGAAATGATGAATGAATAGTTTGTAAGCTTCTGGGTAAGCTCATAATAAACAACGTAATATATTCCGCCTAAAAAATGCTAGCTGTTGTGCCACATTTCGTAAAAAATACTTGACATCCAATTTAACATAACAAGTTTTGAAATTTATTGAAAATTATTACATCTAATTTAGTGAATTATATACAATTTAGTTAAAATTGATATAACTAATGTTTTAAAAATTTTTGGTTTCAGTTGCAAAAAACTAGGTTAAATTATTTTAGCTTCTTTAAGATATGTAAATAATTTTGCAATCAAAACGAAAATAATGAAATGGGCATGACAACAGCGTATATTATACCCGCCTGTGTCCCTTAGAATATGTCTTATTCAGGACCGCACGATATTTGTTTGTAGTTACATCTCCTCTTATCTCTGTGCTAGACCAATTCTTTCAAGAAACTGAAGTGGATTGAAGATTTATATAAAGCATTCTTGTCTCATTGATCGAGGGGTGTACCACCAAAATACTGGTACGTTTTCACTTGAAATCGTTAAAAATCTGTAAAAATCATTGAAATCCTGAAATTATCACCGAAATCACTTCAATAATGCAGCAAGTGGTGAATGAAAAAAAAAAAAAAATGGAGGAAAAACAAAAGGTTCTTTGACTTCGAGATGGTACAATCGCCAAAATGCTGGGTAACTAAATTGTTTCTACTATAGTGCTTTGTATTTCTCAAATTATGTTTCTCTCTAAACAAACGTGCAACGTAAGAAACTTATCAACCTGTACGATAGATAACATTACAAATTCGAATTAAAAATAAATTGATTCATTAAGCAATACTTACTCTATAATGTACGGTAATATCAGCACCGTTTGCTTCTTATGTTGAATTCGTCCAGCACGCATCATGCTCTCGATATACTGCTTCCCCGTTCCATTCTTTGCAAGATGTGTAAGTCTCTTCAACACCATTTTACCGGTACACGATTGATCCATGCAAGTTACGCAATCTGCTTCCGAATGAACACATTTCGTCCAATCGTAAACTTTCTCAATAAAGTCAGTCTTCAATAGGGGTTTCAAGTAGATTGGGCTATGTAGTATATCGCAAACTAAGTTTACCGTAGGGTACGTCGACATTTGTGTATTGAAAAATTCTGAACAATTTAATAGAGCGATAAGTAATTTTTCGGATCCTAACTGAGCTATGGGTGGGCAGATTTTGATGAACGATCTGACTAGTTTTGTTATTTCGAATATCAGACTTAATTTCAATCTATTTGTAGTATATTCTGGCAAAGTTCCATCTAAAATTAAAAATAATATTAACGTAATGGCTAAGAGCTACTTACAATTCATAATATGTTCTTTCTTGGAAGTAAAATTGTGGCAATTCGTATTGCACGTCTGCATTCTAACGGACAATGCAGCAAAAAATGTATTGTCGCAGGTTGGGCAATAAAGTGGAGTAGAATGCCAATGTGTATGTTGTGTCAATAGGACTAGGTGTAACTCTATGGGCACTATTGTTTCCTGGTCCTTAATTTGGTAGATCAGGATTGTTTAGAGTGAAATAGAAAATGGTTATTATAGTAATTTCCGAGAGACATGAAAATACAGTCGCATCCAATCCTATAGATAGGCTAATCTACTAGTTTCCGAACACGTGCAGTTTCCCAAGGTCTTACAAAAGTAAACAAAATTATCTGTGCTGTGTTCAAAGAGATTTTAGTACTGGAAAAAGTGCAATTTAAAAAATGTTTACCCAATCAACATGCCAGAATAGTATAACATGTTACATTTGTGCGAAAGCTCATTACAGCAAAGAATGTAATAATACACTAGAAAAGAAATGCATCAATTGCCTAGAAACCAACAAAAGGCTGGGGAAAACTTTGAAAACTGACCATGGTCTTACTGATCCTGAATATCCTTGTTTCCAACGGATTGCCGAGTTAGAAATTAAAAAAAACCAAGAAGACGTAGCAACCAACGGAAGATAAAGAATCCACTAACGATGAAGAAAAGAGTGTGTTTCAACAAAACGTTGAATGCATATCTACTAGTATCAATCAACTAAATGTATATGTTAGCGAACTACAACCTCAATTCGTAGCAGTCACTGAACATTGGCAAACTGTTCATAGTATTGAGGCATATCCCCCTGAAAATTACAAAATTTTATCATATTTTTGTCGGTCAAACGAAGGTGTTCAGGGCGGCATAATGTTATATTCTCGATGTGATCTCATGCCCATTATAAGAAGTGACATAAATGCTCTGTCAAAAGAGTATATCTTTGAATGCTGTGCTGTTGAATTTGTATTGAACTATCGGCAATATGTATTAGATATTTTCCTAAATTCATTGGACCAAATGTTGGAAATTGCCTAACAAGGAAATAACTACATGCTGGTTGCAGGAGACTTTAATATAGATATGCTAAGTAAATCGAATTTAAAACACCAGACCATGTTAAAAAACATGCTAAACATTTATGATATGAAAGTTAGTATTTGGGAACCAACCAGAGTTACACCGACATCATCTACTTCTATTGATAACATTTATATCTCTCAAACTTTAGAATACAGTGCGAATGTCCTAAATACAAATCTTTCAGATCATAAAGGTCAGCGGTTATGTGTATTGACTGAGAAACAAAAGCCGGAGAATGTAACTGAGGTAAAGCGTTTTATCAGTAAACAAAATTATGATAAATTTTATGAGTTACTACAAAAAGAAACTTGGCTATGTGTGTATGAAGTAATCACTGTAGATAGAATGTATAACTGTTTTATTAAAACTTTCCTCAAACACTTCAATGAGGCCTTCCCACTGAAGAGGGTAATGCATCAAAAACATAGAAAGAGTAAATGGCTGTCTAATTCCATTCGCGAGGCAAAAAATACTTTAAATTTATTTTCAGAATTGTACATACAAAGGCTTATTAGTAAAGAAGATTTTAACGCATATAAAAGGTATTACTTTAAACTGCTGCTATCTGAGAAAAAACATCTTTACAACAAAAAAATCAATGAATCAGATAATAAAATAAAGGCTATTTGGAACGTTATTAATACGGAACTGGGCAGGTCTAATAAAAACTTTGCTACTTTCAATGGAATTAAAGTTGATGACCAAATTGTAACTTCTCCTAAACAAGCCTACAATAAATTTAATTACTTCAAAACAGCTGCTTCGCAAATTCTAGGAAACCTAGATATGGACATTGTAGATATAAATAGAATACAACAACATAATCCACAATCTATATATCTAGCAGATGTGACAATAGAAGAGCTATCGGAAATAAAATAAAAAATTTAAAAAACAAGCTGTCTGCAGGTGAAGATGATATTCATAATGTGCTTATTAAAAATATTGCTTCATATATTCTTGAGCCTTTATGTTACATAATAAATAATTCCTTTCAGAAAGGTGATTTCCCATCAAAACTAGTGAGACCTATTCTAAAAAAAGGAGATCCATTCCTTATGGAAAACTATAGACCTATAAATTTGCTAACAGCTTCTTAAAATTTTGTTAAATTGCAATGAGTAAACGCCTTACTAAGTTTCTTGCTACGAATGGAATTATTACCTCTACTAAACTCAACTCATCAAAGAGGAAAATCTACAACTACAGCAATTTTTTCCTTTGTAGAACGCATTCTACATCACCTAGATAATGGCTGTATTATGCATGGTGTATTTCTAGACTTGTCAAAAGCCTTTAATTGTGTAAACCACAAATTACTATTAAAAAAATTATACGTTATCGGCGTACGTGGAATTGCATGATTGGTTTAAATCATATCTGAATGCAAGGTCTCAAAAAATCTGCCTGAAAACAAATAGTGGACTTTTTCTCAGAACAAGAATCGGTACCACAAGGAAGTATCTTAGGTCCTTTGCTATTCCTCCTCTACATTAATGACCTATCAAATGTGATAGACTTGTCTTCTGTAACACTAACAAATTATGCAGATAATACTAACATTTTAATAGCCAGTACCGATTATAAAAGTCTGAAACAAGATACCATGCACATATTATCAATAACGGCAGAGTGGTTTCTAAAAAATTTCTTAATATTAAATATGTCCAAAACAAATTGTATCCTGTTTAAACACAGCAGAAATAAGAACGATTATGAAAATGCTATAAATCTAAACAATACAGAAATTATTATGTGAGCTCTGCAAAATTTCTTGGTGTGATAGTAGATGAGAATTTGGGATGGTCGTGTCATGTGGACAATCTCTGTGGTAGGCTTAGTAAGAGTTGCTTTGCTCTGAAAGAATTAGCTAAAGTTGTAAACCAAAACACTTTGAGATCTGCCTATTTCGGACACTTTTATTCCATTATGTGTTACGGAATCATCTTCTGGGGTGGTTCTCACAATTACGAGGTCTTTGTGATACAAAAAAAGAGTATTGAAAATATTAACTGGGTTGAACTTTAGAGATTCCTGTCGACGGTTTTTTCGACAATCAAATCTGATGTCGGTGGTCGGGGCACATGTATATTTTTGTGTAAATTTTGTAATTGAAAATCAGGTTTACTTCAGAGAACATATTTTTGGTCATACACATAATACACGCGGAGTAGATAGTTTTGTAGTACCAACGCATAAAACCACACTATTTGGAAAAAGGATGCTATTTTAAATGCATACAATTTTATAATATGTTTTCACGCTATATAAAAAATATTACAAATGTAGGCAGATTTAAGTCAACCATTAGAAATATCTTAATTGATAATGAGCCCTACTCACTAGATGATGTCACAATCTTAAATATTTCAAATTCACGTAATAAGTTAGGATTAGAAATAAGATAGGATTCTTTTTAGCAGTTTAGTTTTGTTCTTCTTTTTCTACCTATCAGTATTAATTTTCTGTGGTGGTAAACAGTATGATTGATGTAATTACCAATTGCAAATTATGGCACTATGTGTTTTGCTAGGTTTTCCTCTAGTCTTGGTAAATACACAATTCTTACTCGGTAAGTCGACATAATTATTAATAACAATACTACATTTTGCAGTTGGTATTTTTGCATCATCTATTTTATATTTAGCTTTATCTATGTAATATTTAGTTATAGATATTGACATGTATATTGTCCCTAGTACAAATAAAAGAATTTGATTTGATATTACAGCTGCAATGGACCACGATAGTAAAAATCCCTAGATGCTACAATTCTAGTTTTGTGTTATATAAACTAACTCGATATCCGATATCAATTAAGTTTTCCTTAATTGCCGCAAAGAAAATTGAAAACTGTCAATTGGCTATTAGAGATCTAATTAAACCATGTACTACATGGCTCGGAGGAAACCGGTCTATGTGTGGGAACTTATACTTACGAATTCGCTCGTATTGTTCATCTATTTCTACAGATCCATCAGATTCATTTGTATTTAACTGATTTTCCGTGTCATCCGCTTCACTGGAAACTGGCGAATAATCACCAGAATCTTCGGCTTCGTTGCCTAACGATCGAGGACTGAGAAAAAAAAAAAAAAAAGTATACACGTGTTGCGACATTGTACACTAAAAGATTTAAGATACGAGTATACAGTTCAATATAGCTTTTGAAAGAAACTTTAGAGCATTCAGCAACTGTTAAATTTTTTGAAAGATAAATGTTTAGCTCTAGAAAATACTACAAACACAAATGCACAACACACAAAAAATACTACTTCAATTCAAATCGAAAATTTCAAAAAACTTCTAGTGCTTCAAATAGGAACCCAATTAAAGTTAAAAAGTGTATATATTGTAATATAAACGACCATAGCATATAGTAGACATACCTAGAACATGGTGATGCCCAAGACAAATTTGCATAATCGCTAACTGTACTTGGACATGGACTAAGCTTTCTATCATTTTTAACAACTATAAAATAGCCAAGTTCCTTGTCGATAGAAACGGGATTTTGACCATTGTCTTCATCGTCATCTTCATCATCATTGACATCAACATCATCATCATGGTCTTCATCGCTATCATAATAATTATCATCATAATCATTGTCTTCACTATCTTCACTGGGACACGCTAATCGTTGTGAAGCAGGCTAAAAAAAATCATTAAAATAATTTATAATACCAAATTTAAGGAGGTCCTTTCGTCACCCCTGTTAAATAAAAAATATTAGATTATGACTAAAATTAATTTTTTTTTCTAATAGTTGAAGTCCTTATTTATCTAATAGTGAACTTTTAACTATACCTTACCGTGCAAATTTTTGAGATTTTTTTTTAAATGTGAGTATTTGTACAGTGTCTTACGAGAAAGTAAGACCTCAACAACAATTCTCGAATTATCCTATTATTTATTGATTAGATGGAGTAGAAAAAAACTAAAAATAAGGTTTTTGAAATATTTAGGTTTTGTTTTTTACAATAAAATATATAGGTTACCGTGGAATTTATTAAGAAATTAATATTTAAAAAAAAAAAAAATCCAAGTAACCTAGTTGAACATTTTCTGTTATTTTTTAATATTAATTTCTCAATAAATTCCACGGTAACCTATATATTTTATTGTAAAAAACAAAACCTAAATATTTCAAAAACCTTATTTTTAGTTTTTTTTTTTTACTCTGTCTAATCAATAAATAATAGTATACTTAATTATAATTCGAAAATTGTTGTTGAAATCTTACTTTCTCGTAAGACACTGTACAAATACTCACTTAAAAAAAAATCTCAAAAATTTGCACGGTAAGGTATAGTTAAAAGTTCACTATTAGATAAATAAGGACTTCAACTATTAGAAAAAAATTAATTTTAGTCAATCTAATATGTTTTATTTAACATTGGTGGCGAAAGGACCTCCTTAATTACAGAAAAAATACTTACAGTACCATGCCACATAGGACAATCAAAATTCTTCAAATCTAAAACCTCGAGACAACAAGTACACAATTTCCGTTTCACAGAAAACGACCCTTCAGGATATAATTCGGCATCATCAAACGTCAATTTCCGTTTCAACACAATTTTAAAATCATGAGTATTCATAACTGTGTTGTCTACAACCCATTCCAACTTTTTTAATACGACATCCAAAATATTGCATCGCAACTGCTCCTGGACAAGATACTCCTCATACTGACATTTATTTAGGGCGTTAAACAATAGAACACAGCATTCAAGCTCTAAATCTGTAGGCTGGTTTAATTTTTCAAGAGCCTGAATTAGTACGGAGATAGTTTTTCCACATTGCTTAGCAGTTTTATTCGCTGGATGATCCAGGAGGTAGCATAAGCATTTGATATAATCTACACATTCAAGTTTATAACCTAAAAAAATATTTTCGTTTGAAATAAAATTTTGATACGAACTTAAAAAAAAAATATTCTGTTCAAAAAGAAAGCAAATATAAACTGTTTAGGAATAATTTAAATGGACTAATAACAAAAACTAAAAATTATTATATAGACAATATTAAAGACAGTATTAAACAGGACTTCAAAAAACATAACTGATTTTTTGAAGCGACGAAAAAGTATTTTCCTACGACCACTTAGGAAAGTGACACATATCACACTATATAGACCTATGGAAAGTGCCCTATATCACACGCGTATGAATAAGAATTTACTTTCCACCCAAGTGAGAATATGCTACTTTCCGCAGTAGCTGTCAGAAAATGTCAAACACATAATTTCTATTTTGATCTATGTAATGTCCATATTAATACTAAAATCGATATGATTGTTAAATTATTGTAAATTAGATCCTAGATATTTATCTTTAACAATTATTTTTAAAATAATTTTAAAATAACTAAGATATATTTGCTTTTTATTCTGGTTAAACACATAAGCGATTAGATCAATCAATTACCGTAAGGCCTGTTAGCTCAGTTGGTTAGAGCATCAACTTTGCAATTTGAGACCGTCCAACGACCGCGATCGAATCCTGGCTGTGCCAGAATTTTTTTTTTATTTGTTTAGAAATTATGAAAATTTAATGAATACGATTATTGTTGATTATTTTTTTAAATACATTTTAATTATTATAATAATCTGGTTTTACATTTTTTGATGAAATTATTTTGTGGTCGTAGGAAAAATATTGTACATCACTTGTGTGAAAAGTGATTTTCCACACTCGTGTGATAGTCGCACTCGGCTTACGCCTCGTGCGACAATATTTCCCACTCGTGTGAAAAATGTCACTTTCCACACTCGTAATGTAATATACTATAAACAATTTTATTATTGTCAATAAACAAAATTAAATTTAAAATGATATAGAAATGACAGACTATTGTAGCAGCTATTTCTCCTCCATTGAAATCAAAAATGTTCAAAAAGATCCCTGAATGCGATGCACAATTTCCAATTCAAAACCGGGTACACTAATTTTAAAATGTCATTTGAACGGTAGGTTTTGGAGCAAAATCGGCCACATCCATGCCATTGAGTTTTACTAAACTTATGGTTGAGGGATTTGAAATAAAAGTGGAGGAGACGTCCTGAATTAGAATGTCATCAGAACCTTATAGTGCTTCAAGAAAAAGTTAAAGAGCATGAAACTAACATTGAAGATGTGACTGTCTTTATGAACTTACTGTTTTAATATAAATGCTAATTTTCTTTTGTTGATTTTTTACTAAGAATAGGTATGTGTTAATTTTCGGTTATTTTCTTGTATTTAGAATTAGTTTTTTAATAAATAAATCAAGTACATTTAAGTCAACAAGACATAACTTTATATTTTTTAAAACTGTGAAGAACAGGAAGTGGGGAGTTTCTGGTATTTTCCCAATATTGATATAGCCGGTTTTGCAAGCAAGATCCTCCTTTTTAAAACCAACTAAGTACTTACGTTTTTTATTCCTATTTCTGACAACTGTGTCAATAAATTTATTACAAATGTCTATTACAGGTAAATCTGAATTCAACTTGCTAATAGTGATGAAATTCATAATAATTTTTATGATCGTTCTCGGGCATAGTAGCAAAACGTTAACAAGTTCTTTTAAAGCGTTTCCGTTAGTAGTAGATTTTAATTTTTTTATTATGGAATAATCCTCTAAATCTGAAAATTGGTAAATTATTGTTATTAAAGAATTCAAAACAGTTTCATCTAATAATTGAAAGCCTAACAGGCTTCCTTGCCATTCTTGACTAAATTTTATGAAAAGAGAACCAATTGTATTTAAAACTGGAAACGTCTTGAGGAGCTGTTGTTTTTTAGTTATACTCGCATATCTGAAACAATAGATACCTCATTGTAAAAAATATGATTGAAAAAGTAAATGATAGTTTTACTTTAAAATTCTGAGCGCCATCAGGATAGTAGCTTCAGAAGGATTTTCTTTTAATTCGGTATTTTTAGTGGCTCTAGATAATACTTTGAACAAATGGGTGATAATCTGTGGCTTTATATGAATGATTACATCAGTCCAAGATTCCATATGCGGACATACATTTCCCAGCACTCTAAAAACTCTCCCATTTATGCTGTCTTCTTTCGGATAACATTTTAACACATGGTTAAGAGCTGACAATACATTATCCTCTATCTGATACTAAAATATTTTTATCAAATTAATTAAAAAATACAAAGTATAAAATTTATTTCAAATATTAAAATAAACAATATTTATATTATATTGTTATATAAAATATTAATTAAAAACGTTTTGTCATGATATCTTAGTTTCTTAAGTTTAATGGGGAGGAATGAGTTGGTGCCTATATCTTATTTAAATGATATACTCTATAATAACAATGGGTTAGTGAAGGGTGAACCGTCCGGTTATTGACCACGTCTCAGTAAATGACCAATATTTACTGATTTATGATTTATTAAGAATTTTTAATAACCTAAGGCATCATATTAAACAGCAAATTGATCCTCACCTAATTCTCAATTTTTTTTTATACATTTGACAACACTGCTCATAATCCGCAGTTTACAAATGTCAGTTAAAAGTGCATGTGTTTTTGTTTCCTTCTCAAGTTTTTTATTTTATAAAAAATATGTATTAGAGTTGTAAAACTGTTATTTGGACTAAACTGCATGAAACAAGATCAAATTTAGCATTTTTTAGGCTGTATTACTAATATAACCTCAAAAAGCATTTATTTTTTAAAAGGTCAATAATAGGTAATGCTAAAGCTAAGAAATTCAGTGAATGACCAAATGTGGTCATTTACTGGGTTGGCAGGAATTTTAAAATAATTTGTTTTGATAATGTACTTTAATCACTACATGAATTCTTCTTTTATGCAAGCATTGTAAATAATGAGGCAATCGATTGGCCTATAGATGACCACTCTTATTATCTAAATGCTCTTCTGGTCATTCACTGGATATTTAGCCTAGTCAATGACTTTTTGCTGTTTATGTATTAAAATATTATTTGTGCAATAAAGCAATTGTGTAACATTTATTTTCAGATGACAGAAGCACACAAAAGAGCATATACAAGATTTAAGTATTCCATTGAAGATCTAAAAGCTGCAGTGACCGAAGTTCAAGAAAGAAGAATTAGTGCTACTAAAGCCAGTAAACAATTTAAAATTCCAAAAGGCACTTTAATTAATAAACTGCATGGAAAATCCGATGTTTCAGTAAGAAAGATGGGCCCACCAAGAATCTTGACTGCTCAGGAAGAAGATATGTTGGAGAATTGGATAATCCAAAAAGCAAAAATTGGGTTTCCTATGCATCCAGATGAAGTGAAAGATGCCGTACAAAAGGTAATGGAAGAAACCCAGCGTTCTAATCCATTCAACAACCATCCCGGTGATAATGGCTAAAAGGATTTTTAAAAGTAAAGCCAGATATTGGGAAAAGAAATGCTGAAATTATTTCCAAAGCTAGAGCTAGCGTCACTGAGCAAGTTATCAGAAAGTGGTTTCAGGATCTTAAAAGTTATTTAATAGAAGAAGATGCTGTTGATATTCTTGAAGATGCTGTTGATATTCTTGAAGATGCTGTTGATATTCTTGAAGATGCTGATCGGGTCTATATATAATGCTGATGAGACTGGGGTGCAATTATGCCCCAAAACAGGAAAGGTGCTAGGGCCAAAACATTTTAGAAATTTTTATGATGTTGCTGTCGGAAAAGAAAAAGAGTGGCTGACTTATTAGCAAATTTTTCTGCCAGTGGAAAAGTAGCTTCAACACTTATACAAAAGAATACCTAGATACATTGCTAACTATATCCCTGATAATTTTTATATTGGTCGAAGTGATACAGGTTGGATGGTTGGTCCTACATTTTTTGAATATGTAGTGAATAATTTCTATCCATGGCTGTTAGATAATAACATAAAATTGCCTGTTCTCTTTCTGCTAGTTGGACATAAGTCACATATCAGTCCTGAACTAGCCACTTTTTGTCGTGAAAAAAGAATTATTTTATATTGTCTATTACAAAATGCTAAACACATATTACAGCCATGTGATGTTGGTATCTTTAGACCTCTAAACGTATCCTGGAGGAAGCAATGTCAGAAATATAAACAAGAAACAATAAAATCTCTAACCAAAGTATCTTTTGCACCTATTTTTGCACAAGCATTTAAAAATGTCAGTAAAGTTTAAACCATACAAAATGCCTTCAGGGCATGTGGCATATTTCCATTTAATGCAAATAATGTTGATTTTTCAAAATGTATGAATACTAGTCAGGCAGCACTAAAAGAAGATAACAAAAATGTAGAGAGTAATCAGAGTGGAATTGATAAAATGAAAATTTTTAAAAATTCTTGAAAGTGAAATTTCCCCAGAGACCTTAAAAACATACAGAGAAGGAAGAAAAGCACAAAAAGTTTTAAATAATGATAAATTATTTAAATTATGGAAAAAATATGCAGAAAATCAAAACACCCCAATGAAGAAAAAGGCGAGAATTATATTGCATTAGAAGAGGAAAGAGAAAATATGAAAAATAATGTTCTAATAATAATGGACACAGAAACTGATGATTATCAGGAAGTTGAAGAAATTAAAAATGTAGATTATATAAATAAAGAAAATCAAGAAGTGCCCCGGAGATTACCCAAAAAAATGAAAATTATGTGAACAAATTGAGGAAGAAATGGAACATGTAGAAAACCAAGACAATACTCAAAATAAAAGCATCCAAATTGAAAATCAAAATGAGGAAAATGATGAGTCAAAAGAAACACAATTGGATTTAAATTTTAGCTCAAAAAAAAATCTCTTAAAGTCCAAGATTCCTGGAAGGAACACTTACACTTTCCAAAGTTGGAAATTGCCACTAAAAAAATTATTAAAAAAAAAGCTCCTTTGGCAATAACTTCCAAATGTTGGAAAGAATATCATGAGAAGAAAGAAGAACAAAAAAGAATTGCTGAAGAATTAAAAGAGCAAAGAAAAAAGTTAGAGAAAAAAAAAAACGTAGACGAGAAGAATTAAACAAAAATAAAGAAAATAGACCAAAAAGTTAAAGAGAAGATAATCTTCTTCAATTTCAAGTGATTCGAATATTTCAAATGAAGAATCTTTTGAGGAAAATGAACAAGAAAACCAGGATGAAAATGAAATCAATGAATCTATGCCACCAACTACATTTACCATTGCTGATTTCGTGATTGTCAAATATGAGAACAGTTATTTTCCCGGTGTTGTTATACGAAAACAAAAAGGAGAATATGAAGTGCGAGACATGTGTAAAAGTGCACAAAATTGGAAATGGCCAGAAAAAAATGACCAAATATGGTATATAGAAGAGGATGTCATAAAAAAGATTGAACCACCAATGCTGATATGTAGTCGAGGAAATGTGTATTCAGTTCCTGAAATGGAAAAGTATGAAACACTGTTTTAATTTTTTTAAACTAAGTATTTACGTTTTCTTTTAGACAATAAAGTTTTGTAGTCATTTACTGGTATTTTATTTGGTCAATTACTCAAAGGAACTGGTCATTTACTAGGATCTTATGCATTATATCTTAAAAATTATCGAATATTTTAAACAAATAAACATGTATACATTTTTATGTTAAAAAAGTTAAATTAGTAACTAAACAAATTCATCCAGCTATTCCTTGCTTTTTTTTTTAAACAAAACGAACATTTTTACAAATATGTATATATCACTGTTGCATAAAGTGGTCATTAACTGGACGGTTCACCCAACTTCTTTTTTTTTTCTATATAAGGATGAATTAAAAAAATGACAGCCGAATTCATTCTTTTTGGTGTTTGCTATGACTATAAGTTTTATAAATACAAAATAGAAAAATCGTTTATTTTAATATTTGATATACATTTTATTCCAAGTATTTTTAGAATAAAAAGCAAAGAGCGCTAGTTCACGCCAGTTGTTTAGTTATTATTATGTAAATGAAGAAAACTAGTTCTTACCATTTCCCTTGCAAAGTACTTCTCCATAGCACAATTCCCTAAAATGCTAAGACACGTGTCAATAATATGCTTGCCTTTCGGCTTGCCTTGTTGTGTTTCTAAGATATTCAACAACTGATGCAAGTAGACTGTATCTTCTCGTAATACATTAATGTTGTTACTGTGTTTTGGCCAATCGACAAAACTCCGTATTTTGTTTAACAACTTCAAAATGTTGTTGCTGTTTCCTTCTCTGCTAAGAGCATCTAAATATTTTTTAAATTTTGTAGTATTCATCTTAAATTATTTTGAAAAATGGGCTTCCTGGACAAAAATATTGTGTTGAGATCCTTATGAAAAACGTAAAAAAAAAATACGTACTGGCTAGCCGACCACCGGCGGTGTTGAATTTAATAAAACGAAAACCGTCTTCCGGCGGCATGGTCTTATCACATATAAAAAAGCCGCCGAAAATCTAACCTGATCAGTGCATTGATAAATGCCGCCGGACGACGGTCTACTGTATTTGAAACATTGAATGCCGCCGGAAAAATTGACATAACCTTATTTCTTCCATTTCTATGTGAATTTTCACTTTCACAATATTGTTCCTGAGTGATAAATATGAAGTTAGGAGACGTATTTGAAACTTAAGACTTTTTGTATCCTTTTGGAAGAGAGATGTCAGAACAATTTCAGCGGCCAGAAAAAAAACCGATCGTTTTCTAGATCCAAAATTAAAATATTACCAATTGAAATATACATGCATTAATGGTGGGAGAACGTTCAACCCGACTGGAAAAGGAAAGAAAATGACAAGGTGATAATTTGAGACCACTTTTATTCGAGATTTAAGATTTATGCAAATAAAAAAGCTGGATTTCTCTTTTTACTTTCCTATCTGTATACTAGAGGTGTGTCGTTCGCGAACGATTCGTTCAAAAAGAACGAATCAGTGCACTGACTCGAATGAATTGATTCCCTGTTTTTAAAAGATTCGAATCTTTTTTGAGTCAATTGCTCGATGGCTCTGCGATCGATCAAACACGCCGAGTTCCGAGTTTGGTTGCTTCGTTCATTCGATTCGGATTCGGTATTTGGTATTTTACATCGGCATCGGCAAATTGGTCGCTTTTGTTCTACGTTCTACGGCATAATACGAGAACTCTAACTGACAGGCGGTGGCGGTATGTGTCTTTAATGTTTTTCTCACTTTACAGGAGGTGTGTATTAAGCTTAGGTAAACAATTTATGCGTGTTGTCTGATAAATAAATTTAAATCAAAGTAAAATTAAAACAAAAAATGACGAATCGTGAATATATAATTTTGCGTTAATTTTGGCTATATATTTGGCATTTTAAAAAAATTGTGTTATTGTTGTTTATCTTAACGGACAAGGATGTATTTATTATTCAGCTGCCTTTTTTTTTATGAAATATGAAACATTAATTCGCTTTACTTTAAAATAAATCTGGTTATAATTATTTTACTCAACGACCTAGTAGGAAGGTAGGTAGGTAGGTAGGTAGGTTAGGTAGTACTCAAATTCGTAAAAGTTCGGTTCGATTTCCTTCGCCGGATCGGCGGAATAACATCGTTCGTGGTTCGCTAAAGTGAATCACTTGAGAACGAATCTTGAAGAACGAATCTTTTTAGGTGAATGAATCAAATGAATTAATTCAGTAAAAAGATTCGAACTTCCCACCTCTAATAGGAATCATGATCTTTTTCGACCTCGAGTTTTCGACGGATTTTTACGTTTTGAGGTCCCCTGAATCAGTGTCGGACTGGCCCAGTCGGCAAGTCGGCATTTGCCGACGGGGCCAAACCCTTTTGGGGTCCAACGGTCAAGCATTGGAGATAAATCAAACCACCATCATAAAAATGTTGTTTATAATAATTCAACGAAATGTAGGAAATCTGCGACATTGGTGCTTCTAGACGTAGTCTAGGCTTCTGAGACGATTTGTTTAATAGAGATTAGAGATCGCCAAGCGCAAGTTATCTTAGATCTGTGCGTTCTGCGTTAGGTAACTTATTTGTTTAATTTTTTAATTCCTAACTGTTGCGTAACCGAGGCGAGGCGCGAGGCCTGCATGTTCTTGTTGTTCTTTCTTGTTTTCTCCTGTGTGTTTGGACCAAGTAAGAAATTAGAAAGCCTATTGAAATCGATGTGTATTAAATAAAAGTTAAAAGTAAGTATGTTTAGTAAGCTAATAGTAAATTATTGACAAAAATAATTACCCAGAATTTTAATATACATTCGAAAATTATATTATTTGTTGTTGATGTACACCCCATTAAAATATACCGTGTAACTTTTAAGGTCAATGTATGTTTTTGAATCATCCAAGATTCCTTTTCATTTTAATTCAGGCTTAATCCTTAATGGCTGAGGCTGATGTGCGAAGCAATACCAAAAAGAGAATCTACAAAAGTGGAACATAAAAACGAGAAGACATAAAAAATTACTTTACAAGCGGCAAAGTCACCAACTCAATCTAATTTAAAGTTATTAAAAAAAAAAAAGCGCAAATACTCCTCTAAATTGCGAAGAGGACAGTACTTTGGAAAGAAATAGCAATAACTCGCCTGCTAAAAATAGTGAAAATGCACCTTCTTTCTCCCAAAAAACTGAAATGGACTATTATAAATCTGAAGAAAAATGCAGTAAAGAAAATTTTAAACATAAAGAACCTGTTGAAAAAACTGAAGTTGAGGAAGAATCAAAACCAAGGGAAAATATTGAAGAAAGTTTATCCAAATTCATTCCCCCGTCTGCAGAATCTAGTATGGAAACCAAATTATTATTTTTGGCATCTCATCCAGTTCAGTCTAGTTCTAATAAATTTAAGGCAGAGCAAGTATACTTTCGAATTCTATCTAATAAAGATAAAATTCGTCGAAATTGGTTATCTTTTTCCGTTCAGTTAGACAAATTCTTTTGTTCCTTGTGTATGGCGTTTAGCTCGAAAACTTCAACATTTATTACAGGCCATAATGAGTTTCGGCATATATATAAGACATCAAAATTCATGAATCATCGCAATGTCACATGCAAGCAGTGGATACATATTTTACAATAAAAAGCGGGGTAAAAACACTGAAAATTTTATAAACAATGATATGCAGGATAAAAAGAAAGACGAAATAACAAGAAATAGGCTTTGCTTACTAAGAATAATTGATATAATTTGTTTCATTGCGAAACAAGGAATTGCTTGTAAGGGGAAAAAGGAGAGTGCATATAATCTAACAGATGATACAGAAGGAAAATAAAACTTCCTGGAGCTAGTTTTACTATTGACAAAATATGACGATATATTGAAACATCATGTGGATATGGCAGCTAAGGACGCATTGTCAAGAAAAGAAAAGCATAAAGACTGCCGTGGCCGAGGTAATTTAATTACATGTTTAAGCAAAACAACGGTAAACAAAATAACTATAATCGGAAATTAAATTAAGAGTAGCAAACGAAGTTAAAGATGCTGGAAATTATAGTAGGTTTGTTTTGGTTCACGTTCTATAATTGTTCCAGAATCATGCGCAGAACTATTGCGCAATGGTCCTTAATTCTGAATAAATTATAAATAAAAAAGAAGAAATAACACAGGGTCAGTGTCTAGGTAAGAAAGATGCCACATAATATAGTAAAACCCCAGTATAAAGAACAATACAGTAGCGACAGATCATTTTTTATGAGGGGTCCATATTTTTCTGCGCATGTCCAAAAATAAGCGACAAAAACGTCAACGTCAATAATGTCAATGCGATGTAAATATGTCATTATTTTTGTTTGTTTGCAGTGCATATTTTGAGACATTTTTATTATTTTAGTTTTTCATTTATTGTGTGATATTTTTGAAATGGCTTCTGCACCTGATCAGAAAAGAAAGATGTGTCTATCGCCCTTGTCCATCTCAAACAGAGTAAATAGACAAAGGGACAAGTTATTTTGCATTTCCCATGCAGCCAGAAAGGTATGTCTTAATAAAATACTTTCAATTTTTATATTTGAAAACTAAATATTTATTTGACAACCAAATATTTATTATTTAAATGTCTTGAGGACAATTTTTACAATTTCAACAAAAATAATGTAAAAAATATATAATTTCTGAACTACCGTCAATCTAAACATTTGTTATCAACTTTTTTATATTTTAGGGCCAACATGTGGTTAAGAGCTTGTAATAGGGAAGATTTGAGTAACATAGATGTGAACAGTCTTCATCGGAATTACAGGTTGTGTGAGAAACATTTTGAGAAGAATTTTTTTTCTAAAACGTTGAACCGTAAACGTTTATTGCCTACTGCTGTTCCCACATTTTTTATCCATCTAGGTCATCAGCCAAATGTCTATCTTCTCCCTAGTACATCGACCAAGTGCTTCCTCTGTTGAGACTATCATTGAACATGAACGAGACATTTTTGAAAGCGTACCATGTGCAACCTTTGGACATTCTTAATCAAAAATCCTACCTCCAAATTATTATAATGAATTAGATGTTCTTTGATTCACTATGTCCATTGATTAAAAATGTTCTGATTGACTACATCTAATCAAAATATATATGTATTTCTTGTAAAGTAGCAAAATGAAAACAAAAAAATGTATTTTGTGGTGTTATTATTTTAACTGTTTTTTAATTTTTGATTTGTTTCATTTATACAATATTTAAGCACTTAAACAATAATGGGGTCTATTCTGTAATAATTCCTTTATATTTAACGGCCTTTAAAAATATTGGCGGCCTTTAAAATATTTTCGTATTCGTTAATTTACTTCTGTCATTACTTAAACAGATTTCTTTAAGATAGTTCTTTAATGTATTTTAAAGATCCGTTTAAATAGTGACAGAAGTAAAGAAGAAAATATTTTTAAAGGCCGTTAAATATAAAGGAATTGTTACAGAATAGACCCCAATATATATAATCTTATAAACAGTTGTATGATATATACGTTAGGGAAATTAGGACAAGGATGATTAAATTCTATTTCTTTCATAATATCAAAAAAAGCTATGCGATATACCAGACATTACACAGGTATTGCTAAAAATAGATAAAACATTTTTTTATAATTTAAATATATAGATAATAAACTTTTCATTTGGAGTTTTTAGGTCTCCATAAGTGCTTTATTTGCAATCATATGTTAAAATCTGTGAACTATCCAAATCTTCACATTCTTTTGAAAATTTAATAAATGTATCACATCCATGTATGCCTAAAGCTTTTTTGATCAAATAGCCACAAACATATTTAAATGGATTTTGAACTATTATATCTTCTGTCCTGTAGCTGTAATTAGGAAGAA